GGAGGAACCTTAAATGTATATCACTAAGTGAGAGAAGCCAATCTGAGAAAGCTGCACACGGTATGGTTCCAACTATATGACGTTGTGGAAAAGGCAGAACTATGGAGACAGTAAAAGATCAGTGGTTGCCAGGCGTTGGGGGGTGAGGAGGGATGAGCAGGCAGAGCACAGAGCGTTCTCAGGGCAGTGAGACTATTCTGTGTGATACTAAATGGTGGACACATGTCATTACATATTTATCAAAACCCATAGAATGTACACCAAGAGTGAACCATAGTGTAAACTGTGGACTTTGGGTGATCAGGATGTGGTTGATGTAGGTTCAGTTGTAAAACTGAGTTGTAATTAATTATAAAATGCACTATTCTGGTGGGGATGTTGGTAACAAGGGAGACTATGTATGTGGGGGGGTGCAGAGGGTATATGGGAAATCTCTGTCCTTTCCTCTCAGTGTTGCTTTGAACCTAAAACCACTCTAAAAAAATAAAGTTTCTTAAAAAGAGCAGGGCTTGGAACCAGTGTCTCTGATTCCTGGGGCAGCCGACCCCAGTCTACTGGCTCAGATTACACTGTGCTGACACTCGGGCCAGTCCCTGCACATCAGTCTCTCTGGGGACCTTCCCTGTCTGCTCTAATCAGGATGTGGCTCTGAGTTTGGATGCCCCAGTGCAGAGGAGAGATACAGAGAAGCAGTCATGACAGGAAGGGTGAGCAAGACCACCACAGGTTGGGGCACTTGTCACCACAGCACACTCTCCAGCCACAGAGGGGCATGTGAGTCCAGGCCCCTGGGGTTCAGCACTGGGGACAGATGGCTGCTCTTCCTGGCCCCTGCATAAGGATGTGCGCCATACACACCAACACACACACCTTGCACATGTCCATGTGCACACTCACACATACACACACCGGTTTTTACACATTATGGGCAGTCACACATATGTGCACACTCACACTCCTGTGTACACGTGCATGCTCGTACATGCATGTCCGGCTTTAAGGTACACGTGTGCACACGAACACACACACGTGCACATGCACGTCCTCACGCTGTCCCCACGCTGTCCCCCTATAATGTTCCCCTATCCTGCAGCCTGGCCCACCCCTCCTGATCCCACAGGCTTTCCCAGTCTGAGCACCAGCAGATGCTGGAGTCGGCCCAGACTCCAGCAGTGACGATGGAGCTGAAGGGAAGGGGCTTCGGGCACTGGCCCCAGCACGGGCCCTGGAACAGGCTGACAAGAGCTGCCTCTCAGGGTCACGGTGAGGTCCAAGAGATCCTCACATGGTGGCTCGGCGAGGAGCTGGGCCCACAGCTCAGATCAGGGAGTGTTATCCGTCAAGAGTCAGGGTGACATTCCCGCTGGGACGCAGCTGCACCCTCCCTCCTCCCCCCTGCCAGGACTGGGGTGAGCAGGGCTGATCCTTTCCTCTCCCCCCACCCCGTCAGGTGCCCCAACCGTGAAGACGTGAGCATCCAGGGCCTAAGGACTGACCCTGACCCTGACGGTGCCTGACAGGATGACCAGAAAGTCTCTACCTGCCAGGCCCACCCAAACAGCCCCCTGCCCATTTCCCCTCTGCAGCGGTGTGGGCGGGTCCCCAGCCTACCTGAGGATGACATACATGACGAGGCAGTTCCCCAACAGTCCCCCAATGCAGACGGCCAGGTAAAGCCCCACAATGGTGACCTTGAGCCCAAGGGGCAGAAAGGCACCGTGGCTGGCATTGAGCAGAAGGTTGGGGGGCAGCAGGCTGTGGTTGGGGCTCAGGAGGGATAGGTTGCCTTGCAGGTGGCCGCTGTAGAGGACCTCCCAGAACGGGGCAGGGAAGAGGGACTCCATGCCACCTCCCTGTGTGCAAAGTCACCTGGAACCTGGGAGAGAACAGGGACACATGACCACAGCACCCAACACCCACCCGACTTGAGGCCTCCAAGCACAGTGTGTGCAGCCCACCAGGCACATGGACCGCCCCCCCCCCCAGACAGCCTTAGATGCAGAGGCACACGCACACACTCAGAAACAATGGAGACAAGCGGACATGAATGCACAGACAGGGACACATCTAGAGGCATGTGTGCAGACAAGGACACGGTCTCATGTGGCTGGCAGACTCCCACAGGGGACGTGCGGACATAGCTATGCAGTTACACACCGAGACACGTGCTCACCCACAGGGACTCACAGACACACAGCCATCCATGTGCGCACACCACCCACAGACAGGTGCAAACCTGACCTCAGGCGCACACAGGAGACACACCCAGAAACACCTGGGACACAGGACGTATGGGCCGACTTCCTACTGCCCCTCCCCAGTCCTGCCCGAGGGCTGCAGTCTGTCCATACCCGACCCCTGACCCCCGGCAGCTCAGGCCTTACCTTAGCAACCTGCGTGGGAGCTGAGACTGCCGACACTGTAACGTCAGCACCAGCAGAGCGGGACGGGGATGCACTGGCCGCCCCAGAGCGGGGCTGCGGGGGGGGCTGCGGCAGGAGCGGCGGGAGCGGCTGCTCCTTCTCAGAAGACGCCAGACCAGACGCAGCCGCCTAGCGCGGAGCTGGGGGTGGGGCGGAGACTGCCGCTCCTGAGGAGGAGGGGCCACGCAGGCTGGAGGAGGGGGCCGCAGGGAAGGGGTCCGCAGGGAAGGGGTCCCCAGGGAAGGGGTCCCCAGGCCCCGCACTGGAGGTCCTTTGGACAGACCGACGGACCAGGGCACACACTTAGAGGTGAACCACAGAGACAGACTCCCACACTCGGACACAGGGACGCGGATCCACACAGGAACTGAGTCAAGGGACAGAGAGCCACAGAAGGACACACACAGAGACATGGAACGGAGACTCAGGGAGGCACACAAGACGCACAGACTGGGACAAGGGTGTGGGGCCTCGTCGAACGCACAGAGACGGGCGGACTCAGATCAGCCTCGGTTGGCCTTCTGTGCCCAGAACAGCTCCCTCCGCTGGTCTCCCAGGGGAACTGAGCCACAGCAGGCCAATAGGTGGGTAGGTACACAGCGGTGCCCCTGCCTGGCCAGGCCTAAGTGGATTAGAGCCTTGTGGACAAGCAGGATGCCTAGACTCTGCTGTGCACCCTGTGTGCCTACTGCATGCTCCACATGTCCATCATGAACATGAGCTCAGCCATCCCCACCACACCAGGTCACTGCCAATCAGCATCACCTTTGTGCAGACAGGAGCATTAAGCCTCAACGTTGTGAAGCCACCTGTCAAAGTGGCAGAGACAGGGTTCAAACCCAGATCCATCTGCCACTTTGAGACACACCAAGGGTGTCTCTGCAACAGCTGGATCCCAGAGCAACATCTGAGCATCATTCCCTCACAGCCTGGGCCCCCAGCACCCATGCAGCTGAACAGTTCCCATGGCAGCTCGCCTCCTTCCCAACACTGGGGTCACATGCCATGTGGGTGACCCCTGAGCTGAGTCACAGCCTCTAAGTCGTGGGGTCCTTCTTCCTGCACCGGCTCTGCTCACATATCCCAGACCCTGCTTGGAACATCCATCTCCAAGGATGGGGACCTGGTTGCTAGGCGACTGGCAGCAGCGTTGCTAAGATACCTGGCAAATCAGGAAAGGACAGGGCAGGCAGATGCCCTAGGATTCAGCATCCCAAGCTGTCCCCCAGGACTTACCTCTGCATCTTCACTGCAGCTGATTCAGGGACAGTACGGAGGCACAGGGCATGACCACAGAGACACTCACCTGGGACACGCAGGGACGCACAGTCTCACAGGCCTGCAAATACACACAAAGACGCCCAAATAGACACACGAGTGAAGACACAAACATGGGTTCATGCTCAGAAATGCACACAGACTCGCAGGCACAAACACGTGGGACACACACACGTGAACCCACACCAACATGCACTCGAAGCACATGAGTAGACAAGAGAGAATAGGCAGACACACAGATCAAGGCCTTCGGACTCCCAGGCGATATATACGTGCACCACACTCCCCAGATGAAGCTGGAAGCAGGATCCTGCTGACCTCAGGAGCCCAGCAGGGACAGGAACCCAAGGAGGCTTGGCCTCCTGAAGCCTCCCCTCGCTGGGCTCACCAAGGTTTAAGCAGCCGACCCCAGTCCCCACTGCCCCAGCTGCCTCTGCCCACCTGCCCACTCAGGAGCATACAGAGCTGCGTTTCATGGTGGCCTTCAGTGGCCTCCCTACTCAGGCACAGACTAGGAAAGCGGGGGGCGGCATGAGGCTGGTATGGAAAGACATCCCATGCGAGTGCCCCTCACAGGGACAGTCTTAGCCAAAGTACAGACTCGGTCACCTGGCTGGTGGGTGGCCAGGCTGGGAGGCTGACTATACTCCCTGGACCCTAAAGCCCTCCCACAAAGGGGCCTGGCAGCACAGAGGACACAGCCCAGGCCTCTCAGGACCCCTGAGCAGCCAGGGTAAGACACAGAACACAGGTGTCACACAGGGGACAGCAGGGGACTCGTTATGTGAGCGAGCATTTGTGTCCGCGCAGGATGCCCTCAAACATACGTCACATGCAGGCAAAACAAAACACACAGGTGATGTGGAAATGTTGGGGTTCGGAGCCAATGGCCAAGAAAGAATTCTTGAGACGTCTTCAATGCAAAAAGGTGTTTTTATTAAAGCCCAGGGATGGGACCCATGGGCACAAAGAGCTGCACCAGGCCTGTGAGGAGTGGTTGATTACATACTTTTAAGTTGGGAGGGGGTTAGGGACAGCACAAGCCTCCAAGGTGTTTTGGAAGCAAAGTTTCCAGGACCCTGAGGGGCTAGCTATTGTTAGGAAAAGGTCATTTATTACTATCTAGTAAACCCTCCGTCATGAGACACTTCAGATGTATATCGGTGGGTCATATGCCTGGGGGATGACTGCCAACATACATCTTGGGGGGTAGAGATAAAGGAAGTTTCCAAAGGAATTTCTATATGTTTAAAGTAAACTTAGGGGCGCCTGAGTAGCTCAGTCAGTTAAGCGACCAGCTCTTGATTTCAATTTTATAGGGCGAGTGGGGGCATGCTTTCCTGCAAGAAGGGACTTGTAACTTTCCCTCTGGTCATGATCTCAGGGTCGCGAGATTAAGCCCCAAGTTGAGCAGTGGGCTGAGTGTGGAGCCTGCTTGGGATCCTCCTGTCTCCCTCTCCCTCTGCCCCTCCCTGCCACCCCCACCTGTGCTGCGTGCACGAGCTCTCCTGCTCTCTCTCTCAAAAAAAAAAAAAAAAATAGACTCACAGGATCCTGGGAATCGAGCTAAGATTGCCTTTAGCCCTTAGCAAAGTGTCCACATCAAGGCAGCTGAGCTCCCAGAGGAAGGTCACTCTGCCTGTTTCAAGGACTTGTCAATGGGTTGTAAGTAGTAAGGAAATTTAATTTTTCTTTGGCCTTTGTTTCCCACATCACAGGGAAACCAGGGACAGCCCAAGGCACGCAGCTCACGTGAATGAGCACAGAATGTGTGTCCACGAACTGTGGCTAGAGCTGCCTGGTCTACACTCGCGAGTCATGGCATTTGTAGCAAGACCTGGGTCCCAGAGAGGTTTACACCCACAAAGTGGGGAGAATGCACTTTACTCTTGCCCGGTGAGTCGGAGCCCGGAAACGCCAGCACTCAGGGCCCCAGGCAGGCATTCTGTCTGCTCCCCTCTGTCTCGGCTTGTTTCGCCATCCCTGGGCTGGGCTCAGGGGTCCCAGTGCAGTCAACGGAAGCCTCACACAGACCAGCCGCTCCGGGGCGAGTCAGCCCCCAGCCCATTTGTGCTGTTAAAAAGTGAAAGGATTTTAAAAATTCTGAGTTTCATCATAATAAATTAGTTTGTGTGATTTTAACCTTATCATAGTTATATAAGGCAACAGGAGAATTGAGTTATGTGTGGATTTTCAATATAATGTTAAATTCTATAGTCATTTAATAAAGCTTTGAATTTTATTTTGGGGTTTTATTTTCAGGCTTTGGAGCCAACCAACATACTTTTAGATCTCAGCATTTCCTCAGCCCTTGAAAAACACATGAATCCTGGACACAGAAATAGATGGAAGACACCTGCCTGGTGGTCTCTCCCAGGTGCTGGGCCCCAGACACACGGGTAGCACCTCCCCCGTCCCCCCCACCCAGGGAACCACAAGGTGTGGGGAGAAGCTGGAAGAAGCTACTTTCAGGAATGTGAGCTGTGTGGGTACCAAGCCCTCGGAGGATTGGGGAGGAGGGATACCAAAGTTTCTCAATCCTATAAAAATCCTATAAAATCAATCCTATAAAAACAGAGGGAAAGTTACAAGTCCCTTCTTGCAGGAAAGCATGCCCCCACTCGCCCTATAAAACCCACTCCACTGCCAGGAGCCAGCAAGCAATTCCCTTCTGTGAGCCCTCCTGGCCCAGACCTGGGAAGCTGAGAGGAGAGCCCAGATCCCTGTCTCCCACAGCTCACCAGTGTAGGAGCACAGAGTTGAGCCAGAAGCAGCCCCTGCCTGAGCTATATGTATCCAGGAGGCCTGCCTGGAGGAGGTTGCCTGTTAGGTCAGACTCCCTAAGCCCTCACTGCTTCTGGATCCCAGAGACCTTTGTCTTTAACAAGCCCCAAGGTTGGTGCTGAATCCCAAGGCCCAGGCCACATCCCAAAGGCACCTACTGGGCAGGAACAGGCAGCATACAGGAACAGCTTGTGCAAAGGCTTGGGGGCTGGAAGGATGGAGAGTCATTCAGTGGAGCTTGAGGGTTGTGCACGCTCTGGGATATAGGGGCTCAAAGTCATAGTTTACCTTTTTACCAGGAAGCCAGAGCAAGCTTCCCAAAACAAGGTGAACAATCAAAAACCTCCTGGTCCCCCAAAGCCAGGACAGTTCCCATCT